CAGCACAGCATACTCACTCATCTCTGCCAAGAAATTTGGAAGACAACTATCTGGCCGACTGATTGGAAGAGATCCATATTTGTGCCCATTCCAAAGAGAGGCGACCCAATAGAATGCAGAAATCATTAGATATGTGAGTAAAGTTTTACTAAAGGTACTACAGAAATGGCTATAATCATACATTGACAGAGAACTTCCAGATGAACATACAGTCTTTTAAAAGTTACTTGTGGTATCATTAACATTATTATTTTTAATTATAAGTAATATTTAACTATCAAATAAAAAGCAAAAACTCCCCTGTTATCATTCTATCCCTCCAAACTGAGTCATTTAGTTTTTCTATACTTTTCTCTTTTTTTTTAATAAAGAGCTCTGGTAGCATAGTGGTTACAAGTCAGGCTGATAACCTTAAGGTCAGCAATATGAAACTACCAGCAGTTCCTCAGGAGAAAGATGAGGCTTTCTGCTCCCATAAAGATTTACAGCCTCAGAAACCCTATGCAGGGTCGGAACCGACTCAACGGCACACAACCACCACCACCACCATACATTTTTTTTGGCAAAATTTACAGAGCAAATTGGTTTTCCATTCGACAATTCACACACATTTTGTCTCCTGACACTGACTACAACCCCCATAATGTAACAACATTCATTCTACTTCCTCCCTGTGTTTACTGTTTGCATTTGTACTTCTTTGCTGGTTCTTAACTTTGTCTTGGGGCAAATGCTGCCATTTTGATCTTAAATGGTTGATTGTTCTAAGAACTGCAAACCTACCTTGTGTTATATGTATAGTGTTATACCTTACAGGCCTATCTATTGTTTGAATGAAAGTTAATCCCTAGGTGTGAGTTCAGATCCAGCTTGAGGGTGTGTAAGGATCATAGTCTTGGGGATTCCACCAGTCTCTACCAGACTAGCACTGGTCCTTTTTAGTATTTTGGGTTTTGTTTCACATTTTTACCCCAGTCTATCCAGGACCTCCTATTGTGATCCCTTTCAGAGTAGTTGGCAGTGGTAGCTGGGCGCCATCTAGTTCTAGTCTCAGGGTTGTAGCAGCTAGAATTCATGTGATAAACACTGGGCCACAAGGTTGGTTTGAACCACAAGGTTGGTGGTTCAAACTCACCAGCCACTCCTTGGAAACCTTATACGGGGTCGCTATGAGTTGGAACTGACTCAACCACACTTAACACAAACAACAACAGCCTTAGTTCTTTGGACGAATTGGTTCCATGTGTACTTGATTGTCTTCACTCTTTGCTCGGATGGGGAGAAAGTAATCACACTTCAGATGGCCACTAACAAGCTTTTAAGACCCCAGTTACTAATCATATGAGTAGGATGTAGAACGCTGTCTTTGTGGACTATGTTAGGTCAATTGACCCTGATGTCTCCTGAGACTTAGGGTCCTGAACCCCCTTAAAGTGTTTGGTTAAGGCCTAAAAGCTTTCATAACTTTGCCCCCCTGTATGCGTTACTGTATTCATGAACATATTTATAGCACATCTGAATACATTTGCATAAGTATCCTCTGTTAAACCTATATATAT